CAGTTAGGCCACACCAAGTTATTTCATTGTTTCTCGTCACCTGAAAATCTCAAAAGGAACGCGGGCGGGCGGAAAAAAAACAAAATAGGGTTTGAAAAACAAAAACTGCTATTTACACTACAAAGGCCCAATTTATGACCTAAAATCAGACTATACACCACGCGTGACAGTCACTGTCAATTTCAACTTCACAGTGCTTGTAGTCCGCAATGCCGCAAGTTTACCGATGCCCGGAACACTGTCAGTCCAAAACGGTGCACTGTCATGCACTGTCTTGACTTGTACCGGAACTGTGTGTAGCAAAGAAGACGACCAGGTCGTGTGGTGGTGTGGTACTTGAACTACCGGTATGCGTACATACACGGTGCAAAAGTCGTCCTTCGGTTCGTGCACTAGCACTGCACTCCAGATTTGACGCCGCGCGTACTTTTACAACGCCTTTTTATGCGTGTTTACCGGGACGCGAGATTTTTTTTTGGTCCAATCCTCAAGAAAGGTACGCGCGCGGTGACGAGAAACAATGAAAAAACTTGGTGTGGCCTTAGTGGGTACACTGGCCCAGTGTGTGGACTGCTGTCCCATTACAGCTACACTCGGCTACAACTGCCGAATGCTGGATTGAAATATCGTTATATCGATATATCGGTCGTTAAGCTAACGGTGTTATCGTTAAGCAGTTTTTGCATATTGCTTCAGCCCTAGTTAAAATGAAAAGAAAGTAAAAGCATGCTTGTTGATGATGCACAGTAAAACGTACCCTAACCGGAATCACTTGGTGTAGAGGAAACTGTCCTGATATAACAGATCACCTCTCGATCCAGGGATGCACGTTCGATCTGCAGCACTTTGGTGCATGAACATGTTTCCGGTCAATACAGGACTGCACTCGGTACAGGGTCCGGCAAAGCACAGGTTTACTCTACTACAGCGCTACTCAATGAAATCCGATTAAAGGGCAAGTTATAGGAAGTTAAGGCAAAAATCAAAATTTCACCAGTTGTAGTCTTCGGGGTGCTGAGTCGAATGGTCTTGGTCCGAGAAAGCTGAGACGCTCCCTTCCTACTTGAATCCCAATCGAACTCGCGCACTTCCACCGAAACTGGGTGACTGCGCCCTACTAGATGGGGATTTGTATGCAAAATGTCACTAAAAGCGCCATTTCGTTCTTATAAAAGCACGGATGACCGCGATTGGCCCATCTGTTGTAGTCTTTGGACGCTGAGTTGACTGGTTTTGGTCCGAAACAGCTGCGATGCAGCGTTCGGCCCTTATTCCCAATCAAACATGGTTGAACAAGCGGTCACGTGCTCCTGCGTACACCAGTTACCTGGTCACCACGCCAGTAGGCGAAAATTTTCACACCAAGGTTCAACTCAAAGGTTCAAAGGTTCAACTCGATTGACAGAAACGCGCCCAAACATGCTGTAAGTATAGTTGTGGCCTGCAGGCACGGTGACCAGGTGACGGGTGTACACACGAGCACGTGACCGCTTGTTCAGCCATGTTCGATTGGGAATAAGGGCTGAACGCTACATCGCAGCCTTTTCGGACCAAAACCAGTTAACTCAGCGTCCAACAGACTACAACGTATAGGCCAGTCGCGGTCATCCGTGCTTTTATAAGAACGAAATGGCGCTTTTAGTGACATTTTGCATACAAATCCCCATCTAGTAGCCTAGTAGTAGGACACAGTCACCCAGTTTCGGTGGAAGTGCGCGATTTCGATTGGAATTAAAGAAGGAAGGGAGCGTCTCAGCTGCGTCGGACCAAGACCATTTGACTCAGCACCCCTAAGACTACAACTGGTGAAATTTTGATTTTAGGCTTAACTTCCCCTTTAAGGCCAGTGAATAGCACGCCAGCCCAAGACCTGCGAACACTGTGATGTGAACTGCTACAGTACAGGGTGCAAACTTGATGATTCGTGCCATCGAATTTCATTGAGCAGCACTATCGTATGGTATTGGGTGTTGAATCACCATTGAATATTATCAATGCTTCTTACTGTACTGTATTGATGTGTTTGTGTGCTGTTGTTACACATGTGCAGTATCTGTTAAAGGAGGGAGAGAAATGTGTGAACGCATGTGACAATAACCACATGTCCCCGCTTTATCACAGCTGTGTCTCTGGTAGTGTGGAGACAACGAAGTTACTGGTAATATACATGTGCATGTTAACATGTGCCTTCGCAAACGGTGGTGGCTAGGGTCTGGATATGTGCGTGTTTGTCTGCTGGTTATGCTTGGATCTAGTTGGGTGTGGTATGGTGAACGTGCGTCTGCAAGAGGGACGACTTGACCCGGTTTTAACTTTTAATGGTATGCAGTGTATAAATGTGTATGTTTTTGGAGAGGGGTGGGGGTGGGGTGGGCGGGGGTTGGTGGAGCGGTGTTATGTATGCTAAGAATGTGTACCGTTGTATACCCATGATGGGTGCTCAGAAATATGTTTTCCTGTGGTTTGTTTGTTGCCACCTGTGCAATTGAATCAGAATGTGAACCTTATGCTGCGCAACGTCAACCAATAAACCCCGTTCCACCTTGCGGCACTGGAAGGCCATGAGAACATTCTCAAACTCTTCATTGACAGGGGTAAGAGTTGTCTGCTTCTGCTTAGGGAATAACACCCCCCCCCCCCCCCTGGCCCACCTCTCCAACCCCACCCTCTCCCAAGAATAATTTGATCAATAATGACTTGATCAATAATGACTTGATAAAACGCTCACTAACAGCCTATACTGTGCGCTCTCATCGAGAGACATGCAAATGCTAGCAAGTAGGAAAATGCGCATTAGGCCAAACTAAATAAGGTGTGTGGTTCGACTAACATGGACATTTTTTTAACGGGCGGGCGGGCGGATTTTTTTTTTTTAATATATATATTTTAGTACATGTAAATACACTACTGCCTTCAGACACCCAGTACATCGGCATTATTACGCAGTGTTATGCCATACATGTTGTATAAAGGGATCACTGGCTAATACTTTGAAACATTGTGTAGCTCTGGAACGAGAAGAGAATAAGTTCAAGCGGTGACTCTGACTGTCCAAATCATCAAGCAAATGAAGAACGATGCGAGTTGAAAGTAAGTTCGGGAACTACTTCGAACTCAATCGAAGTACAAATTGTACAATGTACCGGTACATGTATTGCTAGTTTGGTGTCGGCGTGCACGAATACTGTACATGGGCTTTTTCCATCGACGCTTCCTGTGCTTGCTAACATGGAGCAGCAACTTACCGGTACAGGTGAAATATCGTTCCCAATACACGAGGAAAGTGAAATCTCGTCTGTCCTTCATCCCAAAACAGAAGGCCGTCCTTAATCTGGAACGAGGCAATCACTCTCAACCGGACGGTCACTTCAAAATAAGTCTCGCCAGTCTGCCGGTGGTCGTATCGAGTAGACGCTACTACCAGCACAAGTAAAGGCAGCAGTCTAGTCGTCCCACTCACTGCACTGCACTGCAGTACAACTACAAGTCAAGTCCAAAAGGAGCCGCCTGCGTCCGTAGACTCACGCTGCACAGCACGTAGACGTGGACGTGTTCAGTCCACGTGCGTACGTCAGATCACACGACAGCCCGCCGAAAAAAAGTTACGGTCGGGCTGAAAAATGTACGGTCGGTCGGGTGAGTCGAACCACAGACCTTCTTCAGTGTGGCCTTACAGTTATATGCACCATGAGAAAAAAATGGAGTAGGAGAAAAACAAAAGGGGTGAGAAGACACAATAGCAGGCGAAGAAGACAAGACAACGGCAAGTGGCTGGCTGCAGATGTGGAGACCTTAGCGCAAGACCACGCGGTGGGCGGTCGTCTCGTACGACGTGTCCATTCGGATGTTAATGAGGCGCAGTGTATAACATGTAAAACATAGAGACAGCAGAACACAGCAGTCAGGCAGTCAATCAGGGAAAAGAACAAATCGAACATCCATCGATACACTGTCACACAAACTTCAGAAGGGGAGAAACCCACAGGACTCTAACCTGACTAGAAAAACCTCGGCGCGGAGCCGGCATCAACATCGTTTTTTTCTGTATGATTTTTTATTTTATTTTACAAAACCCTCGGCTCGGAGCCGGCATAAGTGTCCCACACTTTTCCGATGGCGGAACATCGTGTCGTCCCACGACCCATAATATTTTTATTTTTATTTTATACTTCCCCGACAAACAAAACAAACACTGGAGCCCACCAGCTCACGAAGCGGACCGTGGCTCACCATGATCGGACATCCACAGGGCAAACTGGGCAGACCCGCAGGTCGACAAAAAACGAGAAAAACAAAATACGCTCACTGAAAGACTAAACCGAACTAAGCTGACAAACCAGACAGTTACACAACTACCCCCACGCGCACTGACAGCGCAGACTGACTGCAAAACCAAAAGGAATGACACAAGAACCGGATCGCCGTCACGAAGACCGACGATGTAGAAACGATAGCGCGAAAAGATAACAAGCAACAAAAACAAAACCCACGACGCAGATTGTGAAAATACTATATTGCCCCGACAAAACAGAACGACGTGGAAAGCACCCGGGCCCTGGGTGTGTCCGTGCAGTAATGCTGACGACAACAAAATAGGCAGGCAAGTGAATAAACTACAGCGAAAGCCATAACTGGGATTGACTCACCGGGTAGTTGTGCGCCTGACGAACGACCACTGTCTCCCAACATGTACCACTAAAGTAGGACGGGGCGAAGTCGAGTAGAGTATCCAGTAGAGTAGAGTATCCAGCAGAGTAGAGGCCAGGCTGGCGAACGCCTTTCCATCTCCATGGCAGTAGTAGCAATCTCGGTGAAGGGAGTTGAACGACGAGAGAAATAAAATAAAATGTCGAAAACGGCGAGCACAAACTGAAACCACGGCGCAAACGATCCCAGGGTCGTGGGCTGCGGAGGCAGTACCCCGCGTCGAGAGAACGTTGGGCGCCAATGAAGTAGGCTTCTCCCCCTGGCCCCCGCCACACAACAACGACTACTCTTGATCATATCTGCAATACTTATATTGTACCAAGAAATGACGAGGGCGCAGGAGGAGAGAGACAAACTTGGAGACGACAAAAAGGACAACGGGAAGACTCCCGGGGAAAAGACTCTAAGAAAACAACAAGAACAAGCAGTAATATTGCGACGACAAATCGAGACGACCAATCAGGGACTGATACGTACAGAACACATGACCAAGACCAAGACAACCAGACCACGGACGAATCACACACGACTCTCATTCCCAGACCAAACTAGCACTGCGCATGTACAGCATTCACTTGACAGTCACTCTCACACAGATGGAAGCACATCCTCACACTCTGACAACGCGTACTCTTGCATGCACCACATACCATAAACGTCACTCATCACACCACACTCGCGCGTACACCTAGACCATATACTGGACTCCACCAGACAAGAACCAAATACAACGACATGCGTAAATCATAGTCGTAACATAAATTCGCAACACATGCATTATCCGTTGATGCTGCCGAGTCCAATGACTGTGAAAGAATGACAGCACATTATGAAGGAATGTTACCACATGCTGCACAAGTCGGATAGTGGTCAATTATGATCTTCTGGCTGGCTACTATCTTCCTCAGTTTCTCTATTGTCTCTGCCTGTTCCTGGATTTTCTGCGAGTCCTCTGCAGCCTTCATCTTTGCCTTCTCTTTGCAACGCGCGGCTGCCACCCTATTTCGGTTGCGGCGTCTCTCTATTCTCTCTTGGTTTTTCACCTTTTGTTTGTTTTGGCTTAGGGCGGTCTCCTGCATAGATAAAAACATAAGCATGGGAAGAAGTACAAATTAGCAAGCGCTTTATACCATTATCATTGTGAGAAGGACTGCACCTCATTACCATCTGTTTCTATTGCCAATGTCGCCTTCCCAAAAAATGCATATACCCTATTTCTCCGAATATAAGTCGCACCTTTTTACACTTCATTTCAGGGTCAACAAAGGGGTGCCACGTATCGTCAAGCATGATTTACTACTGAAGTGAATATAATCAAAACGATAACGACATGTTGAGTCACCTCCACCGTTACACTGCACTCTTTGGCCGACTAGACCCTCCTGCACACAACCATCACCATTGCGAGGACACTTCCGTAGACGACATTGATAAACTCCTTCAGACAGCTGTTTCGCTAATACGTAGCTAGCTCATCAGTGAAGGTAGATGTTGAATGATTAAAATATAGACCAAACTGCTATTATTCAAGGTTTCCATAATACAAAACTGGCATAGCTGAGGTGGTAACGCGGGAAAGTGTGAAGTACTGTTCACGCGCATGGGACATCGATGCAGCGTCAGAAATTCGGAGCGGAAAATCAAAGATAAGGACATGAACCTGGAAATGGGGGGGGGGGGGGGACTCACAATTGAGTGCGACCTCTAATCGGGGAAATACGGCACATGTACATGTAATACTCATGTAGTGAATAGTGACGCTATGAAAACAATTGACTGTGCTGGCATGTCAACACACACACACACACACACACACACACACACACACACACACACACACACACACACACACACACACACACACACACACACACACACACACACACACACACACACACACACACACACACACACACACACACACACACACACACACACACACACACACACACACACACACACACACACACACACACACACACACACACACACACACACACACACACACACACACACACACACACACACACACACACACACACACACACACACACACACACACACACACACACACACACACACACACACACACACACACACACACACACACACACACACACACACACACACACACACACACACACACACACACACACACACACACACACACACACACACACACACACACACACACACACACACACACACACACACACACACACACACACACACACACACACACACACACACACACACACACACACACACACACACACACACACACACACACACACACACACACACACACACACACACACACACACACACACACACACACACACACACACACACACACACACACACACACACACACACACACACACACACACACACACACACACACACACACACACACACACACACACACACACACACACACACACACACACACACACACACACACACACACACACACACACACACACACACACACACACACACACACACACACACACACACACACACACACACACACACACACACACACACACACACACACACACACACACACACACACACACACACACACACACACACACACACACACACACACACACACACACACACACACACACACACACACACACACACACACACACACACACACACACACACACACACACACACACACACACACACACACACACACACACACACACACACACACACACACACACACACACACACACACACACACACACACACACACACACACACACACACACACACACACACACACACACACACACACACACAAAGCAACGCAGGTAGTTATGAAGTCTATAGTGGTGCACTTTTAAGTAGAGCACACGTCATTAACAATCAGGTACTGAGCTTACCTGCATTACATTAGCCCAGTAGGCAGAGCCAAACAGACCAAATTGAGAAACCGGGGAAACCTGATCAGTACTCGACAGGGAAAGATGGGATGATCCTAGCGATGATGCTGGCACTGGCGGTGTCTGAAGGTCCCCATACTGGCCATAGCAGGATTGAAGAGGCGCTGAACTGCCTGTTGACTGGTTCACGACGTTCATGTTCACGTCCAATTCTGCTGGCCTTGAAATTGGGTTCTCACGATTTTTCAATTGGGGTGACCAGCCGGCGTCGTTGTCACTGTTTCCCAGTGCACTCCTGTCCAAAAACGCTGACCCGGGTGCACTCGTGTCCAAAGACGCTGACCCGGGTGCGATGTTTCGCAGTTCGCTCATATCCAAAGACATGTCGGGCACTGTGGTGTTTCGCACTGCACTCATGTCCAAGGACGCTGATCCGGATGCGGTGTTTACCAGTGCACTAGGGTCCAAAGACGCTGACCAGGATGCGGTGTTTCCCAGTGCCCTCCTGTCCAAAGACGTGTTGGCCACTGTGGTGTTTCCCATTGCACTCATATCCAAAGCCGCTATCCGGGAGGGAAGACGGGCCATCAGTTGTGCGAATGAAGGTCTTGGGGCCTCCGCATGCTGTCGCTGTAGAGCGGCATTGCGAGGTACATTATCGACCTGTGTTCGAACTGCAGACGTGGCGAGGCTGCCATCAGCTACTGACTGACAAGGCGTGTATGGTAGTGGCGGGTTACAAGCAGACGAAGTCAATGCTTGCTCTATCTGGAATTGTTGGTTGGGTAGAGCGACATTTTGGTCGGTAAAGGGTGGCAGGTATTCATGAATCTGAGCCGGCTGAGGAGGAGCAAATCAACAGAACGAGTAGAAATGGTTGGAATAACGTTCAAAGCTTTGGAACAATTTCCTCCGCCATCTCTCACTTCTATGACCTGTCTCGCTGAATTTAAATATTCCCTGTACCAGCAATTTTGTCAATACACTCTGATGGCATACCAAACGCATTACTTTTGCAATTGCGGTGCTTGCTTCTATTCTTTGTTTTCTAGTGCTCCCCAGAATTAAAACGTGAAATTTCTTTTCCCTACGTGGGGAGAAAAATTTGATTTAAGCTTCATGTATATGCATAATTATAGGTTAGTGCAGGGCACGCAGGGCCATATGGCTTGTTCGTATCCGACAGGTTAGCCCATTTGTCCACGGCTGGCGGAACCTTATAAAAACCCAAGATTGAACTCATTATAGGTATCGAAATGTACAATGTGTAGTATCCCTGTCTGTCAGTAATCACACAGCCAAATCAGACAAGTAGATACATTGTAGTTCACAGGTACATTCTATCTAAGTGCTTCTCCCGCGCAACGACTTAGGATCAGACAGCCCTGAGTGCATGCCCGGCACAGCATGACAATAGCACCCATTCATGCTGAAGTAATACATTACATTGATTCCTGTATAGTCCGTCCCCCATCACTGACCCTCTTGATCCCTTGCAAGATTCCTTCCTGGTTCTAGGCATCCAAGATGTTGAATGATTAAAATATAGACTAAACTGCTATTATTTAAGGTTTCCATATACAAAAATTGGCATAGCTGAGGTGGTAACGCGGGAAAGTGTTAAGTACTGTTGACGCGCATGGGACATGGATGCAGCGTCAGACATTCGGCGCGGAAAATCAAAGATAAGGACATGAACCTGGAAATGGGGGGGGGACTCACAATTGAGTGCGACCTCTAATCGGGGAAATACGGCACATGTACATGTAATACTCATGTAGTGAATAGTGACGCTATGAAAACAATTGACTGTGCTGGCATGTCCAGATACACGCACACACACACACGCACACACACATACACACACACACACACACACACACACACACACACACATACACACACACAAAGCAACATAGGTAGTTATGACGTCTGTAGTGGTGCACTTTTTAACCAGAGCACACGTCGTCAATAATCAGGTACTGAGCTTACCTGCATTACATTAGCCCTGTCCGAAGAGCCAAACAGACCAAATTGAGAAACCGGGGAAACCTGATCAGTACTCGACAGGGAAAGATGTGATGGTCCTAGCGGTGATGCTGGCACTGGCGGTGTCTGAAGGTCCCCATACTGGCCATTCCAGGATTGAAGAGGCGCTGAACTGCCTGTTGACTGTTTAGGGATGTTCATGTTCGCGCCCAATTCTGTAGGCCTTGAAATTGGGTTCTCAAAATTTGTTAATAGGGGTGACCAGCCGGCGTCGTTGTTAGTGTTTACCAGTGCACTCCTGTCGAAAGACGCTGACCCGGGTGCGATGTTTCGCAGTGCACTCGGATCCAAAGACATGTTGGGCACTGTGCTGTTTCCCATTGCCCTCCTGTCCGCTGACCCAAGTGCGGTGTTTCCCAGTGCACTCGTGTCCGAAGACGCTGACCGGGGTGCGATGTTTCGTAGTACGCTCATACCCAAAAACATGTTGGGCACTGTGGTGTGTCCCACTGCACTCCTGTCCAAGGACGCTGATCCGGGTGCGGTGTTTACCACTGCACTAGGGTCCAAAGACGCTGACCAGAATGCGGCGTTTCCCAGTGCCCTCCTGTCCAAAGACGTGTTGGCCACTGTGGTGTTTCCCATTGCACTCATATCCAAAGCCGCTATCTGGGAGCGAAGACGGGCCGTCAGTTGGGCGACTGAAGGTCTTGGGCCCTCCGCATGCTGTCGCTGTAGAGCAGCACTGCGAGGTACATTATCGACCTGTGGTCGAACTGCAGACGTGGCGACGCTGCCACGTTCAGCTACTGACTGACAAGGCGTGTATGGTAGTAGCGGTTTACAAGCAGACGAAGTCAATGCTTGCTCTATCTGGAATTGCTGGTTGGGTAGAGGGACATTTTGGTCAGTCAAGGGTGGCAGGTATTCATGAACCTGAGCCGTCTGAGGAGGAGCAAATCAACAGAACGAGTAGAAATGGTTGGAATAACGTTCAAAGCTTTGGAACAATTTCCTCCGCCATCTCTCACTTCTATGACCTGTCTCGCTGAATTCAAATATTCCCTGTACCAGCAATTTTGTCAATACACTCTGATGGCATACCAAACGCATTACTTTTGCAATTGCGGTGCTTGCTTCTATTCTTTGTTTTCTAGTGCTCCCCAGAATTAAAACGTGAAATTTCTTTTCCCTACGTGGGGAGAAAAATTTGATTTAAGCTTCATGTATATGCATAATTATAGGTTAGTGCAGGGCACGCAGGGCCATATGGCTTGTTCGTATCCGACAGGTTCGCCCATTTGTCCACGGCTGGCGGAACCTTATAAAAACCCAAGATCGAACTCATTATAGGTATCGAAATGTACAATGTGTAGTATCCCTGTCTGTCAGTAATCACACAGCCAAATCAGACTACAAGTAGATACATTGTAGTTCACAGGTACATTCTATCTAAGTGCTTCTCCCGCCCAACCACGATCAGACAGCCCTGAGTGCATGCCCGGCACAGCATGACAATAGCACCCAATCATGCTGTAGTAATACATGTACATTACATTGATTCCTGGATAGTCCGTTCCCCATCACTGACCCTCTTGATCCCTTGCAAGATTCCTTCCTGGTTCTAGGCATCCAACAAGGGTCCGGCGGATTCTGCCGGCAGAAAAATTGGCAGAGTTCGGTACTTTTTCTGGTAAGTTTCATGCATGTTTGGTATGTGGATAAAAAAAATGGAGCAGATTTCGAAGGATTGCCCGCCATAAGGTTTCTATAGTTCTGTCAATTTCACTGCTTTTCGAGCAGAATCTGCCACCTTTTCGAGCAGAATCCGCCGGTCTCTGCATCCAACACCCGAATCCATGTTATTGTTCAGCCCTAGTTCACACACATTCAAATGGCTTTTCCTTAGATCTTCGAACAGTTGTCTTCCTAGTAATCTTGTGCACTCACTCCCAGCTGCTCTCTCCCCCTGGCCTATAAAAACCCATCATTCTTTCTCATTTCTGTGTGGAATTATGAAGTGAAGAGTTTTAAGCCCAAGAGCTTGTTTTCCTCCTGCTAGTGCTGTCAGCCTGTATCACTTTCTGGTGTACGTCCAAAGTGCCTGAGACACGAGCAGGCTGGCAGACACTATAAATGTAGCTACGGAAGGCCGAGTCGAAGCCTCTAAATAGCTCCACAAGCTATCAATAAGAATCAAGCTCACAATAATAGTCAAGCATTTCATTTGCTTTGATTCTCCTTTTAGTAGTGCTCACTACTCAGTGCTATTAAGTTACAAGAAGAAAATGTGCTATACTACCATATCAAATTCTCTCTCCGCCTAAACCACAAAGTATCCCAAGGGTACACAAGTACATATATACTGCGCCCTAGGCCTTACATTGAAACTCAACAGTCATTTGCCAAAGGAGACATACAATTTAGCTTGAAAATTGACTGACTGTACACTGTACTTGGTTAGCTTCTATGAATGGGGGATAGTAACCTCTTTCTAAAAATAGTTAGAACGAGGTCTGTCTCGTTGTCCAGGAAACGACCAATCAGCGACATTCCCGCCATGGGCCTTATCAGAGTCTAGAGCCCGCTCAATCATAATTTTACTACTCTTTACTCTATGGCCCTCAGGCTAATCTGTCGGGCACAGACAAGCCGTAAGGCCCTCCCTGCCAATGCTGCCATGCATTAACCTATAATTAGTGCATGACAGGTCAGGCCGAATGCTAGGGACTTCAATCGAAAAACCAAATTCGCGAGTTTCGCATAAAACGCTAGTTTTTCTAAACCGGGAAGATGTGAGAAACAACCTGTGAAAATTTCAACCCAAAATTCCTAGGCAATCTAGAGTTATAGTCGATTGAAAATCGGAAAACGGGGGAGTAAGTAGTCACAGAAGTAAATGCAAGTATGTATGTGAGCTGTGTGGTTTCCGTCCAGCACTGCACTATCTGGTGCATACAATGATTTCATTCTCACCAAATATAACCTGTATACTTTCTCTCGCCGTGTAAACTTGAAGCTGTTTGTGTTTGTTTTTAGGTGTCTATCTCGTTGCACCAGTCCTCTTTTAAGCACGATATTTACCCCCCGCTCTGCATCATGCCGCACAAATGCTGCTACCCGCGGTCAAGCTTCAGCCGCTCTGAACCTACCCAGAGCTACGTCTCGTTACGGCCTAAATGCTATTTCATTTTTGGCAGCAGACAGATGGAACATGCTTCCACCTGGATGTCGTCAAGCTAAGCCCCTTTCTGCATTTGTCACAAGCACCAAGTCATTCCTAGGGTTCCCAGTAAAAAGGCAACGCCTGTTGGGAGTTCCCTAGTAAAATAATAAATTCTACTACTACTACTACTACTGATACATGGCGATACAGGATGTGTGCATGCCATGCATTGTGCACGCATGCCGTGCGCGCCTGCTTGCACAAGTCACACGTTTTCACCGTCACTGCTTCTACAGTGTGCGCGCAGTTCACTCGATTTTTTTTCGTCTACCACCAGGAAATCGCCGTGGGCTGGTTTCTGTGATCATCTTCCTTCTACCGTGATAAAGCGCGAGCCTCAATGTTCTAGAATCCCCTTGGTAAGTTAGGGTAATTCGAGGCCGCTGAACACGAAAATCGGGTGTTCCTTGCTGGCCGAGTACGGATCTCGTCGAAATTAGTACTTCGAAGTGCATCCGTGCCAAGCGCAGAGGCATTATTTTTGGATGCATGGCATGTGTGGCATCATTGGAAAGGTAATGACCTCGGCTACCTAAAAATAGCATCGACAAGGCCTAAAAGGCCGCGGGAGAAGATACTCGGGCCTCGAACTGCATCTCGAACTGCAGTCACGAGGCGCCCATTC